AAAAGCAGAGAATCAAGCATTCGATAACAGTAAGTAGGTTAGTAAAGTGATAAATGGTTCAATTCTTAAGTATACATGTGAAAAATACATATCTTTGAAATATTGAACTTAGAATAGCTAAGATGAACGAATACAGTCTTAAATCTTAGCTCAAATATATACTTTATTTTCATAAGTGCATTTTTTATTATTCTTCAAGCGTCTCTTATAAAAGTTGAGTCTTTATAAAAGTTACTTAAAGAGTTTTAAATGTAGTACAATTCTAATTAATTTAAGAATTATTATAATTTATTCAATAGGATTAAGACTGAGCTTCTTTTTTTTTTGAAATAACATTTATATAAGTTATTAAACGTCGTATTTAACTTTCTCAAAAATATATGAAACTATACAGACATCTCAGTACTAACCACTTTACTTCTATACGATATAACGATACGGTCAGAAATTAACATTATCATTATTTAATAATCTACAGTATATTTAATAATCTAGAAAGGATAACTATCTGATCACAAACATCTAATTCGCATTTTATTTTTTTCATGTGTCAATAGACAAAAAGCTTTATAGGTAAAAATCTAGAAATCACAAGACGAAGTCACAAGATTAGAACAACCAATCAGATAAAAAAGAAACACATCATTTCAGATGCCTGTTGTGAGCGGTAGGAACTCATACAGGGGGATTTTCAAGATTCTGGGTCGAAACTATCGGATTTAGCCCAGCATTTAGTTAGCATTTAGTAATACAAGTTAACCATTTCTGAGCCCAAATTATCAGCTGGGCAGCTTTACTTACTGAGTAAGCTATGGTTTCATTAGCAAAACTTTTAATAATTTTGTGTCATTGAATTAGGTAGTTATTATTTCGTCGCTGGTGTCGTCGAATTTGGTAGTTATTATTTCATGCTGATGTTGTCGAATTAGGTGGTTATTATTTCGTGTTGGTGTCATCGAATTAGGTAGTTATTATTTCGTCGCTGGTGACGTCAAGTTCGGTGGTTATTATTTCGTCGCTAGTGTTGTCGAGTTTGGTGGTGGCTCTTATTTCGTCACTGGTGTCGTCAAGTTCGGTGGTGGCTCTTATTTCATCATTGGTGTTGTTGAATTCAGTAGTTATTATTTCATCACTGGTATCTTCAAATTAGGTGGCTATTATTTTTGTTGCTGGTGTCATCGAATTAGGTGGTTATTATTTGTTGCTGGTGTCGTCGAATTTGGTGGTTATTATTTCGTCACTGGTGTCGTCAAATTCGGTAGTTATTATTTAGTTGCTGGTGTTGTCGAATTAGGTGGTTATTATTTTATCACTGGTGTCATTGAATTAGGTAGTTATTATTTCGTCGCTGGTGTCGTCGAATTTGGTAGTTATTATTTCATGCTGATGTTGTCGAATTAGGTGGTTATTATTTCGTGTTGGTGTCATCGAATTAGGTAGTTATTATTTCGTCGCTGGTGACGTCAAGTTCGGTGGTTATTATTTCGTCGCTAGTGTTGTCGAGTTTGGTGGTGGCTCTTATTTCGTCACTGGTGTCGTCAAGTTCGGTGGTGGCTCTTATTTCATCATTGGTGTTGTTGAATTCAGTAGTTATTATTTCATCACTGGTATCTTCAAATTAAGTGGCTATTATTTTTGTTGCTGGTGTGTGAATTCGGTGGTTATTATTTCGTGTTGGTGTCATTGAATTCGGTGATGACTCTTATTTCGTCACTGGTGCTGTCAGTTTGGTGATTATTATTTCGTCACTGGTGTTGTCGAATTCGGTGGTGGCTTTTATTTCGTCACTGGTATCATCGAATTCGGTAGTTATTATTTTGTCGTTGGTATTGTCGAATTTGGTATTTATTATTTCATTGCTGGTGTCATCGAATTCGGTGATTCTTATTTCATCTTGGTGCTGTCGAATTCGGTAGTTCTATTTTGTTGTTAGTGCCATCGGATTTAGTAATTTTATTTTGTTGTAGTTTAGGCCTATTTGTATTATTGGGTTGTGTTAAATTTTAGTTTAGGATTAGTGTTAAAATAGAATTTAATTTATATATGTA